CCACACTTCAGGTAAAAACATTCAGTTTTACAGCATGGATAGTGTGGATCTAGGATGGGAAGAGAAGTCACAGGGGGATCAGTACAGGTTGGAGGTAGGAAGGTGAGGAAAGATTAATAAATTCTAGTAAGAGGTACTAGGAAGGGTTAGAGATGTTTCACATTCTGGCAGACAGGGATTGGCAGACATTATGGGAGTTCTGAGAAGCTTTGGAGGGATGCACTATGGAAAACATAGATAAAGCATATTAAGAAAAAAACCTGAGCAAATACAGCAAGCGTTCCTAGTTCCTACATATTATAGAGTCTGTATAGCCTGCACATAAACATTAATTCTTATGTCTAAAGTATTTTTCTGCCACATTCCAGAGCCTGAACAGTCACTTAATCTCACTAATATCTTTTGAATCTACCAAAATGTAAGGTTGCCCGTTATGTAACAAAATAAGGAGAGCATATATAATGTCTCTTGAAAGTATTATTCACCTCTATCATCCTTCACTCTGCTGCAAGAGAGCTAGGGAAAATTAAGATTTCCCTCCATCGCTGTCTTCTTGTATTCCTATAACAACATTTTACATGTCTGTGAGCTGAAGCTGTACAAAAGCTTTGATTTCTTATTTTTTGCATTTCAGTTGAAACTTTGACTGATACCCAACAAAATGTAACTACCTTTATATATAGACAAAACCCAAGAAAACCGCCAATCTTTTGTTCTTAGCAAAATTTTATTAACTATATGGAGGTCATAATTTGCTGCAGAACTGGCATGATACCAAGTTTCACCATTTTCCAAAAAATTCCAAGGACTTTCATATTTTTGACATAAATAGGAATCACCATACGCTTCTGCAGCACTTAGGTCATAGAATCATAGAATCATTAAGGTTGGAAAAGACCTCTAAGATCATCGAGTCCAGATTTTCATCCAGATTGCAGAAAACTGACTGGCCATGTCAGTTTCATGGATAAAATTATTTTCAGGATTTTTATGACAGGCTTCCAGGACTTCATGCTCCAAAGATATACTGTCCAAAACATCCAGCCATTACAGAAATCTTTTTTTCAAATATTGAAGATGTTTATGTGATGATACATTCTGCATTTTATCATTCTTATTTGTTATAATAAGACATTATTTTCCATTTGAAAAGCTGAGATATGACCTGGAATCTTTTGGATTTCAGAATCTACATAGATTTGTCTTGTTTCAGCTTTAGTTGTTATAAGAAACAGGTTAAATCTTTCTGCGTTAAATGTTTGAATCTAGAATTAGTTAACTGAAGTTTTTTGTTGTTGTTCTGGTGTTCGTATTTTCTGAGTCTTGAAGCTGTCATCCACAGGATTTCCTTACAACCAGTACTTACAGTTAGTCAAGTCTTTTGTGCTAGGTTTCCATAAAGCAATGTTATGCAATTTAATTCCCTGCTTTTTTACTTCTCTTACCAAGCATGAAACCACCTTGGTAAGTGGTGTGAGAGCTTGCAGTTTGCTCTTAACTGCTGATGTTATTGCTTCCAGCCTGAGCTCCTGTCTCAGGGGCAATTAAAACTGAAGTACCACCTTGTTTGTGTTGGGTTCCATTGCAGGGCATGACCTTAAAATGAGATGTTATTCTGAAAAAGTGATTGTGGAATGGCAAATCCCCTTTCTATCTCAGAGAAGCAGAAAGTGGCAGCAAGAAGCCCATGGGCATTTGCATCAGGCAAAAGAGTGTTGCCAGCAGGTTGAGGGAGGCCATTATTCCCCTGTACACAGCCCTGGTGAGACACATCTGTAGTGCTGGGTCCAGTTCTGAGCTCCAAGTACAAAAGAGAGATTAACATACTAGCGTGAGTCCAGTGAAGGACTGCAAAAGTGATTAAAGGCTTGGAGTATCTGGCACAGAAGGAAAGGCTGAGAAAGCTAGGATTGCTTAGCCTGGAGAAGAGGAGGCTCATGGGGGATCTTATGTATAAATGCTTGAAGGGGGACAGGAGGGTGAAGCAAATAAAGCAAAGTTCAGTGGCGCCCAGTGACAGGACAAGAGGCAATAGGCACAAAAGTAATTACAGGGAATTCCACTTAAACATAAGAAAATGGTTTGGTTTGGGTTTTTTTTTTTAGTTTTCAGGGGGTTTTTTTGTGGTGTGTGTGGTCATACATTGAAACAGGTTGCCCAGAGAGGCTGTAGAGTCTCCATTCTTGGAAATATTCAAAACCAAACTGGACAATGTCCTGAGCTATCTGTAGTAGTTGACCATGCTTGGAGCGTGGCGGTTGAATTAGGTGATCTCCAGAGCTCTCTTCCAACTGCAACCATTCTGTAATTGTGTAAAGTTCAGTATTGGTAGGTGGGTACCTACCTATGTGTGTAGGTAGGCCAAGCCAGGAAAACTCTTCTTTTCCTGCTATTAACACACTTATTTGCCTGGAGAGCTGGGAGGTAGGACCTTCTTTGAGCTGGAATTTGATGTTTAGCATTTCCAGTGATAAAGATGTCTACCTCAGTTATTCTAAGTTTAAACAGTAGGAAGGTTAGAGGCATCGAAGGATAAATGCTCTTTAAGAAATAATTATTTTTGTATGATAAAGATTCCCCTTTCCCCCACACTCCCAATTTTAAGACCTAGTCTACGATGATCCCTTTGTATAGTTGTTTAGAATTTTTACTTGTTTAGGATTATATGATTGGGAAAAATTATTAGGATTTAGTTCAGGAATTCAGTATTTTGGTCTTTTTAAAGTATTGCCCATTTCTAAAATAATCTGAAAATCTGCATAAGTAGTTTTTATTATTTCTTACAAAGTAGGTTTATATGCCAGTGGATTAATAAAATTACTTGCATGTTCAGAGCTTGTATTTGTTTAGTTTTTAACAAATTATATTCTGGAGACGTGTTACGGTTTCAGAATATTTATGGGGCTGCATTTAATGGCAGTTTCTTTTGCCTGCTCTGGAGCACGTGCCATGGTGGTTTTAAGTGTGCTGTGCGTGTTTGACAAGTTAGAAACTTAGCAATCCCCCTCAGTGCTGAGCCACACTGTCTCAGGCTTTGTTTTTGTTGGCTGGTATCCAGTACCATGCTATAAAATACATTGGCTTGACAGTAGAAAGTGGAGAACCACATTAACTACAAAGTTTGAAAAGGCTGGCTAAACACATGCAATAAATATTAATAAAAGAAAAGGCCACCCACCTTTGACCTTCGTACTTGTTCTTAGCTTTGTGTGTTTTAGAGTTACCGTAGCATTTTGAGCATTACATAACAGTACGTAAGAATCTCTTACTTAAATGAAACCGTTTATTAGCAATCCTGTACTGCTTATTTTGGTCACTTGTGGCAGGGATCATGAACATAATACATTATGAGAATTCTACTTTGTACTTCAGAGTTACCTGTAAAAAGTTTGTTGTCCTTTAGTTGTCTCATAATAAGCAAGCCAGGTATATTTGTACCTGTAAGTGAATCGGAAGGTATAATGTTGTATCTATATCTATGTAGAAGGAGTATGTTTTACAGAGGAACCTTGTCAAGTATGGTCAGTTGATTCAGGTAAACTCATCTCACTCAATTTTTCTTCTTAAATAAGAACACAAAGCAGAAAAACAGCTCAGAAGAGGTCATCCGTCATCTTGTAGTAAAATGAAGTTCTGATTCATGATGGCTGAATGGGCTTCAGAATTTTTTCAATATTTTTAATGTAACATAACATTAAAAAAAAAAAAGGTATCTGGACCGAACCAGAAATATTACGGAACATGAAATGGGATGTGATTCAGGAGTCACTAGAGCTGATACATAACCATTCTCTTCCAGATTAGATGGTTCTCATCTCCCAGGTTATAGTGCTGTATTACACCCTTAATTGTATTTTAGCTTTGCTGTGTTTCTCGTGTTAAGACATCAGTGGTTCCCATTTTATGAATTTCATGTGCTGTATTATGTAAAAAAAAAGTATATATAGATACTTTAATGATAGATGGATGATAGTGGTTGAATATTGAGTTATTAATTCACTTTGAGAAGAGTTTATTCCTGTTTTTTGAGAAAGAAGAAGAAGTAAGCTTGGGGGAAAAAAGGGCTAGAAAAATGAGCATTGTTCAGTGAAATACTAACAGGATGATGCATCCTGCTAGCTCTGGACGCATTTATTGCATAGGTAACACAAACACTGTTAAGACCTGTCTTCAGTCTTGGACAGTATCCCTTTAAAGAGTTACTATCTCTCAAAAATAGATACTTCCCCCCCCCAGTTAGTCAGATGCACATACAGGTTTTGTGTTTGTGTTAAGATGTGTTGTCCTTCATGGCAGATTGTGCCCGCTTCTTTGGCTCTCTTGAGTCAGAAGCTCAAGCCTAACATTCTGTGCTGGCCTGCTGAATCAGACTGAATACAGCAATCACATGGAGATTCAAAGTCACATGGAGAACCATGCTGTGTGTATAAAAGAACAATACTCTTAATGTCTGAAAATGAGTTTCCCCACTGACCAGAAGGGTGACAGATCTGTGAGACATTGGCTTCAAATACCAAGTTCTTCTGGGTGCTGTGGGGAAGAAAGAACCAAGAGTGAAAATCAGCTGCTCTTCGTTTCTGCAGTCAGCGAGGGAAAGGTCAGCACTGCGTGAGAAGGGAAAAAGAGATAAAGTAAAGAACAGGGTGGAAGAATTAAGAAGTAAAAATAAAAATGCAAAAGTCATGAAGGCCTGCATTGCTATATCTGAAGCACTTCATTGTTCTCCTTCAAATCCCACGAACGCCCTGTAGCAGTTAGCCTGTGGAAACCACTGGTTATCACACTGCCACCAATTTGTACTTCCTTCTCTGCCTGCATCTGTGTGTTGTCATTCCTTTTACATTGTATTCTGCTCTGGAGAGGAACTTTTATTCATTTACATATTCATTCATGTGCTTAAGCTTGTTCTTGCTACAGTGTGACTTCACTATTTGACAATATGAATAGTAATTCTAAGATCCAAATGAATGACCAACTATCAATATGTTCCTTTATTTCAGAGTGTTGTGCGTTGCCTTTGGCATCCCAAGCTGAACCAGATCATGGTCGGTACAGGAAATGGTTTGGCCAAAGTGTACTATGATCCTGTCAAAAGCCAGAGGTACGTAATCATGATTAATGATGAAGAACATTATTTCTTTCTCAAATTCAGCTTGATTCTGTGGTTCTATGATTATACTAAGAAATGAGAAAAACTGGTTTAGTAACATTTGTTTTGCAGAGTTTTACTTATTTAGTAACAGTAGAAAGAAAAAAAAAACAGTTTTTGAAAAGCAGCGCGTTTTCCTCTGGACTTTTCATGGTGCAGTGTGCTGGCTGTTCTACCTGAATTTACAAACACTTTCATTTTTTAATTGCATGAAATCTGCAGTAAGAATAACCAACCTGTCATCTGATCTCTTGGAGGTTGCTGATGTGGTGTTATTGAAGGGATATATTGTATTTAGTCATATTTTTTGATGTCTTTTTTTTTCCTGAAGTAAAAATCTTGTTTAGAAGTATTAGCTTAAACTTCAGTGTCTGTGAAGTAATACTGGAAGACCCAATTTGAGAGGGGGCAAACCAAGAAAGCACGTTCCCATCTTTCTGCTGGTCTTCTCCCCCACCCCCACCTATCACGTGCGGATTTTGCCTATACATCTAATGGATAGGTGGTAGTGATTCATCAGAAGGTAACTTGTCAGCCTGGAATGAAAAGAATAGGACTTAGCTAGTCTATAAATGTTTCTTTTGCAATTAATTTGCTTTTACCATCTGGATTGGCTGGAGAACTGGGGCATGCTTCCTTCCTGTCAGCAGGGGGGAAATGTACACTTCATCTATACTGAATGGTATGAAAAAGATGTTCTTCCCCTATACGTGCTCATCTTTGTTTCACTGGCATCCAAAAACATACTGTGTTACAGTTCACAGTTTCTGGATACTTACTGTGACCTGGACACTTGGATATGAAGTTAAACTCTGGTTTACGAGATTATCAGAAATAAGTTCTCTTTTTCTGGTCTTTGTCAATTTAGAGAACATGACAGTTGGTCATCATTGTTTGGACCCCTCTCCAGAGGCAGCCTGAGTCTCCTAGGCACAGACCACAAGAGCCCTAGCTGTTTTGTGCCCAGTTTGTTTCCTGGTACTTATCATGAGGAGGAAAATACCACCAGTTTAAATCAGTCTTGCTGCAGCCAGGCTTATGCAGTCTTTCCTGCTGCAGTGTTACAGACACCTCTGGTTAGATAACTGCCACCTCTGCTGCTTAGGAAGAGTACTAGGAGCAAATCGTTGCCCATGTTTGGAGAGGAGTCTTTCAATGTGCATGCTAAAAGTACTGTGGACAAATGAAGTGTGAAATGAATCTTCCACCCTTATTTCCACATATCATATAAATTGCTCTATAACAGAAACGCTAATCTCTCTATCCTCCTTCACATGTCCATGGACAGGCAAAGATATGCACATTCATGAATATTTGAAGTGCTATATAATTTTGTTGAGACTGTCTTGAATAAAAAATGGTTTCTGTTTGATATAAACAGACCAACTGAACTGCTCTGTTTCCTCCTAGGGGAGCAAAATTATGCGTGGTCAAAACAAAACGAAAAGAGAGACAAGCAGAGACTCTTACACAGGATTACATTATAACACGTAAGGAATTTAAACATATCTTTATAGCAGCATCCTTAGCTCTTTCTCAGGTTTGAAATTATTTGCAGATCATTTAGCTTTATATTTTCCCCTCTAAAAAGTTGCAGTCTTTCACTAAGTATTGATCATTGGTGTGAGATGTTAGTGCTTCATACAAATGTTTTTTGTAGCCTTGCACAACCAGGAAGGTATATATTCTGTATGCTCTGTAAAGTTGTTAATAATGGTTGGTTTCTAGATTGTGATGCACCTGAAAGCCTGAAAGGACAACTGCCTTAAAAAAAATAATACCCAAACAAAAACCTCCTTCTTAAATCTTCATTTTTGTATAACTAAATTTGTGAGTGTAGATGGTTTTAGGAAATGTTTCGCCACCTGGGAGCATTAACAGTACCAGTGGCAAAATCAGAGACATTAGAGATAGGTCTTGAACAAATTCCAAGTGATTTTTCAAAATTTAGAACTTGCCCAGAGTTGTATGGGGTTTTAAATAGCTCAAATATCTCTCTAGCCTCAGGGTCATACTTATATAAGATCTTACATTCATATTAAGGCTCACTGATGCATAAGAAATAGTTACCACTGTTACTATAAAATGTTTAGTGATCTGCCTTTTGCCAAAGGGCAAATTTTACAAGGAGATGAGGGGATCGACTGAGATATCTTGGCCCTCCCCATTAGCATTGCCTTACATAGTGTTTCCTTATGTGAAAGGAGAACAATCACACAGTTGTGCTGTCCTGTTTCTCCTCATCCTCTTCCAGTTCCATGGTGTTTGGATTCAGCTCTGTTTTCCAGTAGTCTTGGTCTTATCTAACTAAAACCATTTCTGTACAACAAAGTAGTTGTTTGGCAGCAATAAACAAAAAGAAAGTTTAGAATGAGAAAGTCTGGGCAGTTTTGGTAACCAGGCCCATATAGGGGCACTTTAGTTCTGGGTTCCCATCTCGGGTGCTTTCCAGCCACAGCTGTCTCCTACTTACTGCTCCAGATGTGCAGCTCCAGTTTTTGGGTAGCAGTGGGTAAAGTAGCAGCTGGCAAAGACCAGGGATATTTATCTCCTTTGGGTGCTCTTCTCAATCCATCCTTACTACAGCCTTGACTATATCAGCACATGGTCTATTATCTAAATACGTTGTGTGCACTGTTGTTAGGATTCATAGTTTAAAGAACTTTTGTGACTTTTAAAAAACTTTCTGCTTAAAATCCAATGGAACTTGTGTATTCAATGGCATTTATAAATGCCATTCAAAGCTTTAGGTCCCAATTATGCAAAGTTACAGAATTTTGTCACCGAATTTTAGCTGTTTAACTGTTTCTTCCACATAATTTTGAAACTAAATAAGGATATTTCCGTATAAAGCAATGCAGAAAAATGTTGTAAGGATTTGCTTTGCAAATGTTTAAGTTTGTTGCATATTTTGGAAACTTTTCAGAGGCTAGATGTCTGTCTTTTAAGCTTACAGATAGAACTGGAAAGAACTGAAGATCTCAGAAGTCCTTTTGCAAAGTGAACTGACCCCTTTTTCCTTCTTCTCCTTCTCCTCTTCCCCCCCTTCCCCCCCTTGGACTTGTAGCTGCTCTTTAATCTCAGGGTTGCCTGTAATGGCTATTTAAAATGCAGGAATGTTGTTTTGAGGGATTAGGTGTTACTTTTAAAACACAGGAATACGCAGTTTGGGTTTCCCTTAGGCAACCTTGACTCCACAAATGGCAAAATGTGGATTGTGCGTGTCACCTCAGATGCTCTATGCAAATCGATCAAGCTTAGTGCTTGCCAGCAAATTGTCCCAGGCATTTCATACTTCATGAAATCTGCAAAAATAAAACCTAAACATTTATTTCCAAAGATCTACTGCTATGTCACCTGGCTGTGACTTCACTCAGTCTAATAAATTGACCAGGCTTCCAGGAATAAGCTGAAAAATCAAACTGATAGTTCCCTGGATGCTGCCTTCCGGTTTTTATTCAATATAGAGCCAGTGCCCCTAAATTAAAGATTTGTTTGGCTTTTGTCTTTGTTGGGTCTTTTGACACCAACACAATTTGTGAGAGCTAAACCTCACCACAAGAAAACCGTGTCCCTTAACATGGTGTTTCTCTGTTGCTGACAAATGTGTCTCTTGTCTGAGCAGACCAAAACCATTACTGTGATTGAAGATACTGTAGCATGTTTATGAGGAAATAGAAGTTTTAAATCCTGATAATTTAGCCAGATTGTCTCAGTTATGGGTATTCTTCCAACCTCAATTAATCTCATAATTTACAAAAGAACACGATTGTGACTTCAGATGCAGAAACATTACATTTTGGATCATTGAGGGGATTCCGCCCCTCTCTGTTTCAGATCCAAGAATGCATCTAGGGTTTTATCATGCTTTTAGAGTATTAGAAAGCTGTAGAAACATGGAAAGTTCAGAGAAGAGCAATCGGTTGGTCACAGTGCTAATGTTGAGAACTGAATGGCAGAGGAATAAATTAAATATGCATAAACTGTGCAAACAGTATTTTAGATGAAAGGCTCCTGCCTGAAGGAACCCTGGAAATCCGGCTGCTTTCATCTTTGAAAAATCCAGCAGAAAGAAGACCTCTGAAAAACACCTCAGTAAACCACTGCTTGGATACAGAAGAACTGGAAGGCTGCTTCTGCCACCTTTTCCATTGCAAGGAAGAATGCCAGTCTTTGTAATTAAAACCTTAAAAAGAAAATGGAATTTCTAACATTTCTTTTTCTCCAAACTGTGACCTTTCAGCCCATGCGCTTCCAATGTTCCGTGAACCACGACAGCGAAGCACCAGGAAACAGCTGGAGAAAGATAGGCTGGACCCCATGAAGTCTCACAAACCTGAACCTCCAGTAGCAGGACCAGGTAATCTAGGCATAATTATTTCAGACTGTCTTATGCCAAAGGGACTGTCATGCTTGGACCCTACACTTGTTCGGATTTGCATTCAAACTTTTTTGGGTGGCAACTCTACTGTACATGTATGGGCAGTGTCCAGCACTGTAAGATGTTGGTCTTTGATTGAAGTGCTTGCCTGGAATAAAGTAATAATCACAATGATTTACTTTAAATTATATAATCAGTAAAACACTTACATGAATGCAGCTCTAAATTAGACTCTTCCTATAGTATTAAATAACTTCTTTGTATCATGTCACTGTTACAGACACAATACAACATTTCTCTGTTTATTTCTTAAATATTTTTCTCTAAAATACTTGTTCTTTTTTTTTGCTACAGGTCGCGGTGGGCGTGTTGGAACTCATGGAGGTACCTTGTCATCATATATAGTCAAGAATATTGCACTGGATAAGACAGATGATAGCAACCCTCGAGAGGCTATTTTACGTCACGCAAAGGAAGCGGAGGAGAATCCATACTGGGTTGCTCCGGCGTATGCTAAGTAAGGAAACAATTAAAAATACAAGTAATATTTCTGGAAGCCAGTGGGAGTTTAGTAAAAATAGAAGACACACATTTTTAATGGTATACTTTGCCTTTCCTGGATTGCTGCTGCGAATGTGTAAACCAAGAATATGCCATACTCTTTTATGAAGATAAGAGCTTCTAGGAGGTTAAATTGTTGAAAAATTACATTTCCATTCTTAAATTGTACCTATCAGTGCTAGAAAATTATTTTAAAGCTTTCTAAGTTGATTAGAATTTAGAATCTTCTCCAAATCAATGTCTGAATTTGCAATATACCTTTTAATAAGGTACTGTCCTATTGACAGATTGGGATGATAAGTTTTCCAGTGTGCCCTCTAGTTCTGACTGATTTGTAGGTTAAACCTTCAAAATATTTACTTGGTGTTCTGACAGCGTATTTTAGATGATTTCTCAAATGTCGTAAGTTTTTATTTGATTTTTCCTACATAAGGACTTGTTGTTAAAGGTATAGCAATGTTAAAAATTGCACTGATAAAATCTCCTACCAAAAATTCAACGTAAAGAAATAAGTGTTAGTTGTTGTTATGTAAATTAAAGAGCATCATTAAGATTATGGTAGTAAAATCTCAGTAATCCCACAGATGGTAACTTACTCAGTTTAAATTGTATGTGTGAGTGTGGTATTTGTGTGTATGTGTTACAATGAAAATTGTGCAATATGCTTCTAGAATGCTTTCTACCAAAGATTTTTTTCTAAAAATAAATACATTCACAATAGTACTAAAATAAATACTAAATAAATGCATTTCATGCTAATGAACACAAACTACCACTTTGAAAATTACTAAAATGTTCACATTTTGTTATTATCGTTGATGTTTTTGTTACACAAAATCATCTACCTAGTATAAGTTATAAGTAGCATTTTCAAAATGCATAAGGAAAAGGCTTTGAAGAGATTAAATAGTCTGCACAGAACAGTCTGCCAATAACAAACTTTTTTTTTCTTGTTTGCAGCCCAGTGTTTTATCTACTAGGCTGTACGTTCGTTAGTACTTTACTGACGGTACTTTCTTTATTAGTGTGTAGCTCTTTAGTGAAACAATCACCACCTCTTTCCAGAAACTCAAAATATAGTAAGAATCACAGCTGTTTCTAGCGGTGACACTTGTTTTCTGACTTGACCCACGTGTTCACAAAGATATCCGAATAGCTGTTCCAAAGCAGCTTGAGAATGTCAGTGACCCAGCCTGGCTTTGACTCAGTAATTAAAAAGTATGGCATACTGGTAGTTAATAAGTATGGCATTTGATGTTGTACATCAAATCAATGCATTATACAGTATCACCCTTGGTACCAAAGAAGGAATATTTGAAAGCCTGATTCTGTAACAGGTGTTGTAATGAATATGCAGAGTATTGATTTTTAATTGTTTGAGAGTTCATGTTTGCTAGAGATTAAATTTACTTTGAATGTGTAGGCACCTGGATTTATTTGAGATATGCAACTGTACATTCTCAAAAGTAAATAGATACCTACCATCAGGTAGGTAGATAGCTCAGTATATTTTTGGCTCAGTAACTTCATTGATTGTATATTAAATTTCATCCCTGACACCTGCAATGTAGTAGACATGAAAGTTTTAAAATATAGCTGTATTACAGAAGGCTTACTGTGTCAGGTGGGCAGATCTCATTACAGTTTCTTGTTAAAGATGTAGCTGCAGGGGAAGAAGAGAGCTGGCTGAGAGGTGGGGAGGATGCAAGTCCAGACTGCTATTAACTTACACACCAGACGGTGATATGTATGTGGAGGGGTTGGACTGTAGCCAACAGCATGCTGCCTTGATGGTTTTGTCAGCTGATAAATCTCATGCCAGTGAAACTGCCGTTATCCTTGCTTTAAAAGCTTGACTTTCAGATGTACTCTATGCAAAGAGCATTTTAAAAATTATTTATTGTTGTTGTTGTCGTTATTATTGGCTAAGACACTGAAGTGCAAAAACTTTCTTTAGCTGCTTGCCTGCACACACAGATAATATAGAAAGCTGTGTTAATTATATCCTATATCTGACCTTACAGGGCATGTATGTTTACCCTCTATGTAAAGCATCTTACTGAGGTTCTTACAGATGCATATTTAATAAAATATGCAAATTACAAGTAATGGATATAAATTATCACATAATACTGGATTGTAAGAGTGTCCCTGGTGGCCCTGATAAAATCAGGAGTTCGTTGAAAACTGGATGCTTTAGCTATAGCATAAGATATACTGTAGAGTTAGGAAAAGTGATATTCTGATACATACTTAAAATTACATACTCTCTTGAGACCTAAAAACCATACATCCAGTACGTTTCATTTTTTTAAGTAGTATTTATTCTTTTTACTACTTTATTTGTCTGCCGTCAGTTTTTCCACATTTCTTGTAGTAAATTTTCACTTCAATATGGTACAAAACTATCCACTTGATATATCTCTTGTTTGACAAGGCTTTTGTTTTTGTGTTGTCTAACAGATGGTTATTCACTTACAGTTTTTCATTCTGCTTCTTAAGTAAATGTCTAAGGAAACTATAGTTACTTTCTTCAGTGATGGTTATTAAATAATTTTAGACTGAAAAGACTAAGAAATGCTCTTTTTCTGGTTGATCTGAGTTTTCATAACTCTGTGATGACTGGGTTAGAGTTTGTCTGGTCCTGATTCATACTGATTAGTTCCTTCTAAATCAGATAACTGATTTCATGCTTTTTTAATTGTATTTTTCACTTCAGTAATTCTTGTAAGAAATACCTGCAACATGACTTGTGCTGTTAGTTTATACATTGTATGTAAAAATATTTCCTTTTTGTTGGAGTTAAAGGTGCCTAATTTATTCTTGAAGCCATATAGTCATTTGCATTATTTATCACTTGAAATTTCTTCAAGCTTGTTATCATTAGCCTGACCTTTCTGTTTCTTCTAAAACTTGAGCCAGAAAAAGAAGGGGAAGTACATAAGAGGCAAAAGGATGGGTGAAAAAAGATATGCTGCCGGAAAGGGTACTGGGGATGATATACATGCTGAATCAGGAGATGACATGTCACAGAAGCCCAGTGTGAATAAAGTGTCAAAAAAGGTGTGATCAACACAGCAGAAAAGTCATAATGGATGAGGATAAAGAAAAGATCTTGAGATTTTTCAGGAAAAATCTTGTTAGAGACCTTGGCAAGAGCGATTCCAGTGGAGTGAAAGGAAAGGAAGGACAGATTGAAGATTTCGAGTAAAGAACCACAGGAAAGAAACTTGAGGCATCAGTTGTAAATGTTTGAAAATTACATTCTTTGTGAGCTGTTTGTTTTAACACAGCTGTACAGAGATACTATAATGACTTCAGATGTCCCTCTGAAGGATCATCGGGAATTACTGAGCATTGTAGCTGACGGCCTAATCAGGACCAGATGTAGCTCTCTTCTATACCCTAGGGAAGGTGAGGGTGAAATTTCCCTCCCTACCAAGATAGACCAGAGTTCTTAGAAAATACCTTTCAGTTCAGTGATGTTGCCCCTATCTTGCTGTCTTTGCCATTGCTGCTTGTCACAGGCAAAAGGGAATGACTTGAAGCAACAGCCTGTAGCTGTGCTGTGTTCACTGAACTTTTTCTCAATGGTAGTACCAGTGTGTGAAGTGTTAGTCATGTAGTGGCTCAAGTATCTTTAGTTGAAGAAGCAGGACTGAACAGAATGTTTTGTAACAGTGATTTTGTTGGCAGATGCTGGTATATTTAAGCTAAATCTTTTTTGGAAATCGGTAATGTTGAGAGGGAGGCCCCTGAGATTCAGAGAAGAGTCAGGCTGGTTGGTGGGGTAAGGAATACAAAGGGGCCTGATCCTGAAAACCTTCACTTTTCAGTCTGGAAGTAGCCTTTATGACATTATTCTGGTTTCCAAGCATGCTTGAAAGTCTTCTTTTTTCTTTGTTTCAGTGCAATATAAACAGAAATTTCAAAAGTTACTGTGACATGAGTCATATGCTGTGATATGCAATTGTCATCTCCAGCTGGTTTAGCTGTAGCAGTATTTTTTTAGCTGCTAGTCTATGAACCTCAGATGTCAATGAGCTACTTTTATTGGATCCCTGAAAGGTAGCTAAGAAAAACAACCCATAACCAGAGGGATTATGGTGACTCTAAAGCAGTCTGCATGGCCCCTGGAAATTTTTTTAGGGGTCTGCATATCTGAATATGTTGAAAACCACTGAAATAAAGAGAAGCACGCAGTATGAATAAATTATATTAGTTTGTTTTCCCAGTTTTGTTTGTAGCCTGTTAGTGTAACCCACAATAGGAACGCATTTGTCAGTGTATGAGATACTGGTTTCAGCTGACAGCCATGTGGAAGCACAGGATCATAGAACAATTTAGGTAGGAAGGGACCTCTGGAGGTCATCTAGTCCAACCTCCTGCTAAAATCATGTTCACTTAGATCAGGTTGCTCAGGTCCAATTAGATTCAGGTTGTTCAGGGACTTGCCCAGCCAAGTTTGAATCTCCTCAAGGATGGAGATTCCACAACATGTCTCTGGGCAGCCTGTTCTAGCAGTCTGATTGGCAGGCATAGGATGCCATTGCTAAATCCATGCTGGCTGTTCCCTGTCACCTTCTTGTCCTTCACGTGCCTGGAAATGCCTTCCACGGGGATTTGTTCCATAGCCTTCCCAGGGACTGAGGTTAGGTAGACCATCCTGTAGTTCCCCAAATCCTCCATTTGCCCTTCATAAAGATGATGACGTTTGCCATTTTTAGTCATGGAGAACCTCCCCCAATCACCATGAGCTCTCAAAGATGATAGAGTGCCCTTGCAATGACATTGGAAGCTCCCTCAGTACATTTGGATCCATCTCATCCGGTCTCATGGATTTGTGTGTGTCCAATGAGCTACGTACTCCCTCTCTCTGTTGTCTTCTGTTGGTAATGTCTCACTCCCTCCCAAAACTGCTGGTAGTGTAGGGAGGGGTCCTTGAAGAACTGAGGACAGACCTCCTCAGGGAAAACGAAGCCAAAAAAAGCACTGAGTATCTTGACCTTTTCCATATCCTACATTAGTGGGTTACCTGCCCCATTGAGCACATTTTCCTTAGCATTCCTTTGGCTGTCAGTGTAGTTGTAGAAGCCCTTAGTGTTGCCTTTCACATTTCTTTCCAGTTTCAACTCCAGCTGAGCTTTGGCTTTCCTAACTCCGTTCCTATATGTTCACGTAATGCCTCTGTTCCTCTTGGAAGCAGGCTGTCCCTGCTTCCTCTGTCTGTGATCTTCTTTTTTGGGATTTGGGGTTTATCTCAGTCAGGAGATCCCTGCGCATCCATACTAGTCTTCTGCCAGACTTCACTTTCTGCACACGGGATGGAATGTGTTTTGAGGACACCTCAAAGATCAACGAGCTCTCCTGGGCCCGTTTGCCCTCCATAGCAGTCTCCTTGGCAGATCCCTAACAAACTGAAATCAACCCCCAAAGTCAAGGATAAATAAAATTGAGAAAGTTGATGGGGGAAAAAGAACACAGCTTTCCACATGTATTATTTAGCCCTCAGAAAGAAAAATATTTTGAAGTAGTAAACCTGTCTTGATAATTTTTGTATAAATATTAATCATGCAGCAAACTCCTACTATACTAGCAATCTCTAGTGCAGTTACTAAGCAGAAAAATCTGTGTTTAAATTAAATGGTCACTACTGATAATGCTATGATGAAAACAGTGTTTTCTATGCTTATGTCTTAAAAATGGTCAGTCATATGAATCACCCTAGGTGCCCCAGTTACCACTCTGTAGCTTGTGGAGGTGGAACAGTTTACATTTCAGCTGAGCTGAAGCTACAGCCATTTCATGCTAATTTTAAAAGACGAGATAGCAAGCAAACTTGATTTCCTCTGTATGTTTTTGCTTTAACTGGTTACTGCTAGATTATGCTACAGTTTCTCCCCCCTCCCCCTGCCCCCCAGCTTTACTGGACTCAGTAGCATACTTACATTAGCTGAAGTCCGTAACTTCTCTGTGCCACTCCTATCCTGGAAAATATGTTGGTTCTGCTGCTTGTTGCACAAATTAAGTCTTTCTTCTTCGTTGGAAGTTTCTAACCAAAATTATGACAGTTGCAGATTTTGTGGTCAGAAATGATAGGTTTACACTTGATTAGTTGCACTTTACTAACAAGCATCTCAATACTGATCTGATGTGATCCTATATGGCATTTAGATACCTTTCTGTCTATTGTGATAAAAGGAAGGTACACTGTTAAAATGGGCTAAATAAACTTCCATCAATATCTTTTGAAAAAAAGAGAAGATGATTCCATATATTCCACCTCTTCCGCAGCTAACAAAATCCAGTATTTCGGCCAATAAAGCCTTCATCCCTGGTGTCTGTTTTGGATTGAATGTTGATTTTATTTATTTATTTATTTTTAAAGCCTCCTTCAGTGATTGGTTAAGTAGAGTTTATGTAACTATTTTCTAATGAAATTTTTAAATTGGAAATTTTTTTAAAATCTTAGTTCTGCTTTCCAAGGGGAGCAGAATGACTCATCTAACTTCCAGTAGTGTAGGTCCTCACCTGGGTACAAGGTCTGTTTAGGTGTAATGAGATGTACAGCCTGCACCCAGGGACCATGTGCCAGTAGAGTCCCACAGTAGGACCATCTCTGGAACATCTTAGTATATTCCTTACCTCCATGGCAAGTTTGGACAATGGAGGAGAAGGCAGGCCAATAGAAAGATCCTGTATATAAGGGAAGTTGTCTTTGACTAGTTTTGGTGACTTTAAATCTCTTTTCTGCCACATATTTAGGGAGTGGAGAATCCTGCTCTTCTATAGCTGATGGCTTGCTATTACTCTTCCAAGTCAGTGGCAATATTGAACTATGCCTATTGTGTTAAGTAAGGTAGACACAATTTTGTTAAAGTTTATGCATTTTGTAGGGTCTGCCAAATAACAGTTGTTATAGTGCTTCACATCCTTAGACTGCTGTAGAAGCATTAGTTAATACATTAATGAGATGAGGACTGCCTTGGCTGCATTTTACACTTTGTTGTGTCTGTTGTAATGAGAAGTCAAGCACAGCCATCATCAGAAAACTAGTAGTTTCAGCTCCACAGTGATAGTGCTGAGAATTAGGTTGGAAAAGGGGACCATGCAGTGATTGAAGTGTAAAACAGGGGAACTGAATGTCCAAACAGTTTATTGAAATGCTACTTGATACTGTGTTCGTTTAAAAAGTAATCAATAATTATTTTTATAAAGTTTAAGTTTTATTTAAAATACGAGTAAACAGTGCAGGAATAGATACCATCAAGCTTGGCTGTAGGATACACTGTGTTCTCATATGAAGATCATTAGGTTTTTTATGTTACAGTAGTGTTGGATAAAGTCTCTGGAGATTAAACTGTTTTTTTCATGCATAGGCTAAGCCAGGTTTCTGGCTTAGCTGTTCTGTTTTCACTTACTGGCTGCTGTCATACTACAGTGTATCAAAATGGAGGTTTCTTTTTTTTAAAGTCATAGAATGAGAAGAATTGCGGCTTCATTTTTCTAGCATTGTATGAAATTGATTTGTTCCTCTCTTCTATCTTAATTTTATTTGTGGAATACCCAGATAATGATTGCGAGCTGACGAGGAGATAATACTTGCAAAAGATGTGTGTTTGTTGTGCTTGTTCTTTGCCTGAGAGCTGCAAGTTTCTTCAGTTCTTAGAAGGTTAGTTGCTAGGATTATGTTGAAAATGAAAAACGGGCAAGTCTAGGATGCTTTTTTTAAGGATAGAAAGGATGTCATTTGTGTCTAGTGCATGTCTAATATAGTTTCTGATAAAGAATTGTGGTCTGACCATTATTTTAATCTTTTTCATGTTTTCTAGAACACAGCCAAAAACAGTTTTTGCAGAAGTGGAACCAGAAGATGATGAAACAGACAAGCCAGAGTGGAAGAAACGTAAAATTTGAAAAACTCGGTTTAAAGAATAATTTTAGAGCATTTGAAACAAAGTGCAGCATTTATTTCTTTATTTTGAGTAGTGGATTAAAATTTGAAAGCAAAAATTACTTCAGTTCATAAAACTTGCTGCAGTGTAAAAAGGAATTGTTGTATTACACTGGATTGTAGTCCTACATCTGAATTTTGTAATATAGAATCATAGAATCATAGAATCATAGAGGTTGGAAGAGACGTCGAAGATTCTCGAGTCCACCCATCCACCCAACAACACCATGCCCACTAAACCATGTCCCTAAGCACCTCATCACCTCATCTA